CCGCCGACAACTACATCTTCTGGCGTGCACAGGTTCTCCTGCTCTTGGGGAGTCACTACCTGCTAGGCTACGTCGACGGATCGCTTCCCTGCCCACCCGCGCTGGTAGACAGCGTGCACGGTCCGGTCTACAATCCGGCCCATCGCGTCTGGACGGGGCAGGACCAGGCGAACCTCTCCTCCATCCAGGGGTCGCTCTCGCCGGCAGTTGCCGGCCTTGTTGTCTTCGCGAAGACGTCTCATGAGGCCTGGACCATCCTTGAACGCACCTTTGCAGCGCAGTCCCAGGCTCGTGTCTCTGCACTCCGTCGTCAGCTTGGAGAGTGTCAGAAGCTTGACTCCACTGCCACTGAGTTCTACAACAAGGTCAAGGGCCTCGCCGACACATTGGCCTCCATTGGACAGCCCCTCACCGACTCCGAGTTCAACTCGTTTATTGTCAATGGTCTTGATGAGGAGTATGATGCCTTAGTCGAGATCATCAACGAGCGGGGCAACTCGACACCCATGCTGGCACACGAGGTTTTCTCTCGGTTCCTTCTCACTGAGCAACGGGTCGAGACTCGCCGCACCAGGGGCACTGGCTCCCTCTCGTCCAACGCCGCCACCAAGGATGGCCGCTCTTCTTCATCACCCCGGTCTCCCTTGGGGCTGCCACCGTCGCCCGCCTCAGCCCCCCCACCTACTGTGACCTTACCGGGGGCTGGCGGTCCACGTGTGTGTCAGCTTTGTGGCCGCGATGGGCACTGGGCCTCCAAGTGTCATAAGCGCTTCCAGCGAAGCTTCCTTGGTCTTGGCAATGACGGCAAAGATACACGCAACAATGCCCGTCAGGTCGCCATGGCTGATCGTCCCGCGCCGCAGAAGCAACAGGGACACACTCAGTCCTACTCCATCGATCCACACTGGTACATGGACTCTGGGGCGACAGAGCATCTAACCAGCGAGATGGGGAAGCTTCACACTCGTGAACCCTATCATGGCTCCGACAAGATCCACACCGCCAATGGAGCAGGTATGCACATCTCTCATATTGGTCAAGCATCTCTTCTCACTAGACATGCCAATAGGAGTCTTCAGCTTCGCAATGTTCTTCGAGTTCCATCTGTGACCCGTAATCTTTTTTCAGTTCCTAAACTCACACGTGATAATAATGTGCTTTGTGAATTTCACCCTTTTGATCTTTTTATTAAGGATCGGGGCACGAGGGACATTCTTCTTAGTGGACGGTTGTGCCAGGGCCTCTACCGTCTGGAGCATCCTGGTGTCGCTCGTGTTTTCAGTGGAGTTCGGGTCTCTCCGTCACAGTGGCATGCTCGTCTTGGTCACCCGGCCACACCTATTGTCCGTCATATTTTGCGTCGTCATGAGCTTCCTAGTTTGTCTAATCATAAAGATGTAGCAGTGTGTGATGCTTGTCAGCAGGGGAAGAGTCATCAACTTCCTTTTTCAGAGTCCAGTCGTGAGGTGAAACATCCTTTAGAACTTGTGTTTTCAGATGTATGGGGTCCTGCTCAGACTTCTGTCAGTGGTCATAATTACTATATCAGTTTCGTTGATGCTTATAGTCGCTTTACCTGGCTTTACCTTATTAAACGCAAATCTGATGTGTTTGATATTTTTGTTCAGTTTCAAAAACATGTTGAACGTCTTCTCAAGCACAAAATTGTTCATGTCCAGTCAGACTGGGGGGGCGAGTATCGCAACCTCAACTCTTTCTTTCAGTCGCTTGGGATAGCTCATCGTTTAGCATGTCCACATACACATCAGCAGAATGGTTCAGTCGAACGTAAGCATCGTCATATTGTTGAAGCTGGTCTTACTCTTTTGGCCCATGCATCTGTTCCGTTTCGGTTTTGGAGTGATGCTTTCACCACTGCATGCTTTCTCATCAACCGTACTCCTACTCGTGTTTTAAACATGAAGACTCCCATTGAGGTTCTCCTTAATGAACAACCTGGTTATACCTTTCTCAAGGTATTTGGGTGTGCTTGCTGGCCGCATCTTCGTCCATATAACAAGCGCAAGCTTGAGTTTCGTTCTAAGAAGTGTGTTTTTCTTGGCTATAGCTCTCTTCATAAAGGTTACAAATGTCTTCATGTTCCCACTAATCGTGTCTATATATCTCGGGACGTCGTGTTTGATGAGCATGTTTTTCCCTTTGCCAACCTTCCTGTGTCCACTGTCGAACCACCATCCCTGCATTCATCCTCTGTTGCTTCTGACCAATTTGATGATGTTGCATACTCTCCTTTGCTGTTACCTAACCATGGTGCAGGAACCGGACGTGGAGCTCGTTTGGAGCTGTTGGAGGATTCACCATCATCATCGTCGTCTTCTGGTGGGCACGTCGATCGCCCTATGTTGCATGGCATCGATTCGCGTGCCCATGCATGGTCACCCGACGAGCCCGTCGCGCCGAGCATCTCCACTGCTCGGTCCGTTTCGCCAGCGGCCGCCGAGTCGCCCGCGGCTCGGCCCGTCACGCCGTCTTCGCCTGCGGCTCGGCCCGTCACGCCATCTTCGCCCGCGGCTCGGGTCCTCACGTCGCCTTCATCAGCGGATCGGCCCGCGACACCGGCCGCGCCACGGCCCACTATGCCGAGCTCGCCATCGGCCCGGTCTGTGATGCCGGAGTCGCCAGCTGCTTCGTCTGCTCTGCCGGTTTCACCGGTGGGTCGGCCTTCTTCGCCAACCGAGTCCGAGGCTACCGTGACTGGCTCCTCGTCACCGGCTGACTCGTCAACGTCGCAGTCCTCCAGCCCGTTGCAGGCTGCTCCGTCGACCTCGGTGGTTCCTGTGTCCCGACCACATACACGCAGTCGCAGTGGCATTTTCAAACCTAAGGAACGTAAGGATGGTACGGTTGCTTGGTTGGCTGCTTGTTTGGCTGCTGCTGTTGCGGATCCATCTTCTGAGCCTCGCTCATATCAGGCTGCCCTGCGCATTCCACATTGGCGAGAGGCTATGGAGCAGGAGTTTTATGCTCTTCTTCGCAACAAGACATGGACTCTCGTTCCTCCACCATCACGGGTAAATGTTATTGACTCAAAATGGGTATTCAAAGCGAAGAAGCATTCGGATGGATCTATTGAGCGTTACGAAGCGCGACTTGTTGCTCGCGGTTTTCGGCAGCGTCATGGTCTTGACTATGAGGACACCTTCAGTCCTGTCGTCAAGCCTACCACTATTCGGCTTCTTCTCTCCATTGCCGTTTCTCGTGGTTGGTCACTTCGTCAACTTGATGTGCAGAATGCTTTTCTACATGGATTTTTGGAGGAAGAGGTTTATATGAAACAGCCGTCTGGTTTCTCTGATCCTGATCGTCCTGACTATATCTGTCGTCTTTCCAAAGCACTATATGGTTTGAAGCAAGCTCATCGTGCCTGGCATGCCCGCCTTGCCTCTGCCCTTCGTGCTCATGGGTTTGTGCCGTCTACTGATGACACTTTGTTATTTCTTCTACAGAAGCCAGAAGTCACTATGTATCTTTTGGTATATGTCGATGATATTATCCTTGTCAGCTCTTCTCAGTATGCTGCTGATGCTCTTGTCTGCTCTCTTGGTGCTGATTTTGCGGTCAAAGATCTTGGGAAGCTTCACTACTTTCTTGGAGTTGAGGTCACTTCTCGTGCTACTGGTCTTGTCCTTACGCAGAAGAAGTACTCCTTGGAGTTGTTACAGAGAGCTGGCATGCTGAAGTGCAAACCGACCACCACACCCATGTCGTCTACCGACAAGATAACAACTGTTGATGGTGAGCTTTTGTCTCCTGCGGATGCCACAGAGTACAGGAGCATTGTTGGTGGACTTCAGTACTTGACGATCACGAGACCAGATATCTCTTATGCTGTTAACAGGGTTTGTCAGTATCTTCAGGCTCCCAGAGATACTCATTGGGCTGCTGTTAAACGCATTCTTCGTTATGTTCAGTTCACCCTGACATTTGGTATGCATATTAGGCCGACTTCCTCTCGGGTCCTTTCGGCCTTCTCTGATGCAGATTGGGCTGGTAGCCCAGATGACAGGCGATCCACGGGGGGTTATGCAGTATTCTTTGGCTCTAATTTGATCGCCTGGAGTGCTCGGAAACAGGCTACTGTGTCACGTAGCAGTACTGAAGCTGAGTACAAGGCTGTGGCTAATGCTACTGCAGAGATTATTTGGGTGCAGTCTTTGCTTCAGGAGTTGGGTTTGTCTCAACCACAGCCTCCTATTCTTTGGTGTGATAACATCGGTGCTACATACCTTTCTGCAAATCCAATATTTCATGCCCGAATGAAACACATTGAAGTTGACTATCACTTTGTACGGGAACGTGTATCACAGAAGCAACTCCAGATCAAGTTTATCTCATCTAAGGATCAACTTGCAGACATCTTCACTAAGCCTTTACCGCTGCCACAGTTTGAGGCTTGTAGGCGCAATCTTACCCTTCTCAGTTCTTTAGAAAATGGCTAAGATTGAGGGAGGGTGTTAGACTATGTATAGCTTCTGTACCTATGTACGTATATGGTACATATTGTAACACAACCATTATATATAATGAGATAAGCCACCCCTAGAGGGTTGTGCTGGTTCCCCAAAACTTATTGTCTTACACTCGGCACTACCCAACCGCGGTCTCGTCCATTTTCCAAGTAACCCAACCACGTACGTACACATTGGCTGGCTGGCTAGCACAACCATGAGCCGGAAGAATTCTAACCTCGTCCTCGCCTGCATTCAAACGCGGATAGACAAAAAAACCAAAGCGTGCTCGCTCTCATGGGGTCCAATCCAATGGCCGCCCCGGCCTTTCTTCCCCCGCACAAAAGCTGAAAGCAGACAAGAAGAAAGCTTCAACACACGACTCCTCCAGCCACCCCCAACCCGATTCTTCCTTTCCTCGGTCGCGCTTGGCTGGCCGCCCGACTCCGATTCCCACGCACGCGCGCACGCCAAGATCGCGGTTTTCATGCCGCGGCCGCAGTAGCCAGGAGTAAGCTCAGGGCGGGAGCCATGGCGACGTCCTCGGCGGGCCGGTACGCGGCGGCGCTCCACCGGCGGACGCACCGGGTCACGTCCGCGCTGGCCTACGCGGCGCTCGAGTGGGTCCTCATCGCGCTGCTGCTCCTCAACGGCCTCCTCTCCCACGCCGTCGCCCGCTTCGCCGCCTACTTCCGCCTCCGCCCGCCCTGCCTCCTCTGCTCCCGCGCCGACCGCCTCTTCGGCGCCGAGCAGGAGGACGCCGATCAGGCGGCGGGCGACGCGCGCTGGCTGCGGGGGCTCCTCTGCGGCGCCCACGCGGCCGAGATCTCCGGGATGGGCTACTGCCTCCACCACCGCCGCCTCGTCGCCGACGCCGCCGACATGTGCGAGGGCTGCCTCTCTTCCTGGAAGAGGGAGATGATGCGGGACGCGGAGGAGGACGGCGCCGTGGTCTGCTCTTGCTGCAAAGCCCTCGTGCAGATTACTTCTTCACGCGCGCTGGAGGATCCTGCTGTACACCACAAGGCAGCCGAAGAAGAAGAACAAGATCAAGGCTACGTTCTGCTGGATCAAGAAGACCACGAAGACGAAGAAGAGGAGCAAAACGAAGAGGAAGCACAAGAACAACAAGGAGAGATCAAGGTGGCTGCCGTGGAGGACGAGTCCTTGGAATTCATGGCTCAGGGCGAAGAGATCACGCCTGAAGACGACGATCGCTTGGTGCCGGTGGTGGCACTCGATGAGATGACAATTGCCGACGATTCGGGTCTGCATCCGGATGCCCCTGGCTCTCAGCGGGACGACATGAATCGCACGGACGATGAGCGTGATTCGGATGATCTTGATACCGCAGTGGTTCCGGAGGAGAAGAGGATGCTGGCTTCTTCGGTTGCAACGGCGCCTGCCACGGCCGAGAATTCCATTCGCCAAGATGATGAACTGGTTCTTGAAGATACTGTCGAAACTGGAGATTTCAGGACTGATGAAGGAGACATTGTTGTGCCTCAAGGTAATAACCTCTCCATTTGTTCCTCGGCCCGTTCAATTTTACTCAAGTCGATTACTGTCCCATCATCTCATGATTTTTGTTTGGTTCTACTTCTAGCCACTGAAGCAATTCCTGAAGATGGCAGCAAATCGGCAGAGGTGGAGACTAACTGCGAGGTGTCAATCGGGAGCGACATCTGCGAGCAGGAGCAAGATGGCCATGCTGCTCCGTTTCAAGAACTGGTGGCGCTGGAGGAGCTGTTTTCTCCATTGGAATATGCAGATGACCGGACATCACCACCGGAGATCCTCCATGAAACAGCCCCAGCCGAGCAAGGTAGCGGTACAATCATTGCAGACTGCTCTCACTTTTACTTTTGCCCCATGGAGATGCTTTCACTGTGACTCTGTCTGTCTGTCCACAACTTTAATTTGCTATTTATGTTTTGATGATTTGATCAGAAGCAAGTGAAGCAGAGCATGAGGCGACGGCGAGCCGGAGATTTGAGTACCAATCGAATGGCGAGAACGAGGAGGACGAAGACAGGGCACCGGAGACGCCCACCTACAGCTTTGCTGCCCAGAACTCCGGCAAAAGGTTCTTGCTCGAGAGGAAGCGGTCACTGTCCTTGTCCTTGGATGGCAGCGTGTCGAGCGAGGTCGAGTGTGCCGAGCCTTCCACCGTCGATCAGCTGAGATCCGCGCTGCAGGCGGAGCGAAAGACGCTCAGCGCCATGTACGCCGAGCTGGAGGAAGAGAGGAACGCCGCCGCCATCGCGACCAACCAGACGATGGCGATGATCAACCGGCTGCAGGAGGAGAAGGCCGCCATGCAGATGGAGGCGCTGCAGTACCAGAGGATGATGGAGGAGCAGTCCGAGTACGACCAGGAGGCGATGCAGCTGCTGACGGAGCTGGTCACCAAGAGGGAGAGGGAGAAGCAGGAGCTGGAGAGGGAGCTGGAGCTGTACAAGCAAAAGCTGCTGCAGTACGAGGACAGGGAGAGGAGGAGGATGCCGGCCTTCGAGGACAATGCGCGTAGCCCCGACGGCAATGGCACCTCTGCGTCGTCCAGCGGCGAGGACAGCGACGAGAATTCCGATGACTCCTGCGAGCTGGGCGAGTCTCCGAGCGGCAATCTTCAGAGCTCGCCGGACGCTGCTCTTAGCCCCAGGGCGGATCAAGAGAACACCGGTCATCTTGTGGCGCTGGATGACTCCTTGACGTACATGGAGATGGAGAGGCTGTCCATCTTGGAGGAGCTCAAGGCACTCGAGGAGCGGCTCTTCACGCTGGAAGACGACGATATCAACGGCAGCAATGCGGCTGCTGGCCTTTCCTCAGACGATCACGGTCCCCATTCGCCGGAGAATGGCCTCGCCGGCAACAAGGCCAGGTTTGAAGGCAGAGCTTCTGTTTCCAGAGGAAAGAGCCTCCTACCTCTCTTTGACGCGGTCGGTGACGAGAACGTCGACCGTGCACCACCAGCAGCCACCGATGGTTCGACGAAACCGGCCGTCGCCGTGTTCGCCAAAGAGCAGGAGAGGCTGGCGATAATCGAGGAGGTGGATCATGTGTACGAGAGGCTGCAAGCACTGGAGGCGGACAAGGAGTTCCTGAGGCACTGCATCAAGTCCCTCAAGAAAGGGGACAAGGGCATGCACCTTCTCCAGGAGATCCTGCAGCATCTTCGCGAGCTCCGGGGCGTGGAGCTTCATGCCAAGCACGCCGGCGATGCCATTGTTGCAAATTCAGCATAGCAGATCGATCTAGAATTCTAGACATATTATACGTGGTAAGTTTGTATCTTGTCTTCCTTAACTGCATTGGCATAGCTGAATTATTGTGGCTGTTTAATTACCTGCAGCAACTATGTGCTGAAACAAGAGATTATTGTGCTTTGCAGATTCAGTTGCTCGGCTATGGTGAGTCGATCGACTGGAATGGTCCGAGTAGTGGTGGATCTATGATATGGTCCCTTTCCCTTGTGCAAGGTAATGGCTTGTGTTCAAGGGAACGCTTTGCTCGTCTGGCCTGCGGGGGGCTGCGCTGGTCCAGCATGGCCGGCTTTATGAATGATGTGGTTGGTGGTGGCAGGAATCATTAGGGCCTTCCCAAGCTTTCACCAAGCTGAATCATGGCGCCAGCTTCGGAGGCATGCGCACCACTTCAACTTCAACAGGACAGATGGATATATATATATAGAGAGAGAGATGATCGGCAAAAGGGTAAAGGTGGCCCGGATGCAGATGTGGTGGATTTCCTATTTGGTTTCGCTTCTTTTTCCCTTTTCTTTCTTTCTTTTGGTTAAGTTTTCAGATTTGTTTGTGCAGAGGTGGAGAGCGTTCGAGTTTTTTGTGTTTTATATGAGGTTGTAGGCTTGCATGGTTGGTACGTACGTGTGGTTTGGTCTTTGTTTTGCACTTTGTAGCCAGTTTTGATGAAGAAGGAAGGCTCGTTGTGATGAACCCTGTTTCATTTGACATGGTGCTCTTCTCTCTGGTCCTTGATGCTTCTTCTGTGCATCATTCGACCCCTCCCGTCCGGTTCGTGTGCAAGCTGTCGATGTAATACAGCATAGTATATATCTTTATGGTGGCATGGCAGATGGCACCCTGAGGTTGCTCAATTATGCTGGCTTTGATGGGTGTCCTTGAGCTGTACATTACTATTGAGCCCTGGGAAGATTCTTGCATTACTCAAAAAGTTTAGGAATTACAATCACGTCCAACAATTACCAGGACATCTTCTGGAAACAGCGGTTCGACATTGCAACCAACCAAAATTAGCCGTGAAATGACTAGCACTATTACAGCCTCGACAAACATGAGTAATACAAGAAGCTCTTTCCTCATACTGCTGATGATATCTCTAATCAAGAAAGCATACTTCAACTTGTTACTATCTCCATGTTTGATCATGGCAACAACCTAAATGTTAAGAACTTTAAATTTGATCACTGGGCCTTGCTAGTTGTCTATTCACCCCCCTCTAGATACCTTTTCGATCCTACATTAGTTTGTTGCCCGGGGCCGGGGCCTCCACCTACCCGGCTGGTATTGGGGCACGCCATTAATGCAATGCACGGATAATGCTCATTGTAGCCCGGTGTAGTGGACGTACTCCGTAATGAATTAAGAAAGGAGCTATATCCAATCCTTTCGCGCTTGCCGAGCTGGGAAGGGTGGAAACAAATGCCCACATCAAAAAAAGAAACCGGTCTCAAACCCATGGAGGAGTGCGAAGATTGCTAGAGGAGCTGGGCGTGTCTCCAATGCCACAAAGTAACAAAATGCGTTGATTTATAAGTTTTGGCTAGCTAATGAAGGGGAGATAATCAGTGAGGAGGCACTTGAAGCCTATGTGCAACTGTTCGAGCAACCACTTGCCGATACGCGCATTAAGGTTATTCTGGCCTTGTTTGGGTGGGAGCCATTGATCCTACCACTCTTCGAGCACAACGGCATGGTGGAGGATAGGCAGTAGTTGTCTAGTTTTGTGGTTTCATGGGGGGCTGATACGTCTCCAACGTATCTATAATTTATGAAGTATTCATGCTATTATATTATCTGTTTTGGATGCTTATGGGCTTTATTATACACTTTTATATTATTTTTGGGACTAACCTATTAATCGGAGGCCCATCCCAACTTGTTGTTTTCTTGCCTATTAGTGTTTCGAAGAAAAGGAATATCAAATGGAGTCCAAACGAAATGAAACCTTCGGAAGAGTTATTTTTGGAACGGAAGCAATCCAGGAGACTTGGAGTAGACGTCAGGGAAGCTTCGAGGTGGCCACGAGGTAGGGAGGCGTGTCTGCCCGCCTGGGCGCGCCCCCACCCTCGTCGGCCCCTCGTGGCTCCCCTGACCGACTTCTTTCGCCTATATATGTCCATATACCCTAAAAAAATCAGGGAGCAGAATAGATCGGGAGTTCCGCCGCTAGAAGCGTGCCTCCTTAGCCACCGAAAACAAATCTAGACCCGTTCCGACACCCTGCCGGAGGGGGAAATCCCTCTCCGGTGGCCATCTTCATCATCCCGGTGCTCTCCATGACGAGGAGGGAGTAGTTCACCCTCGGGGCTGAGGGTATGTACCAGTAGCTATGTGTTTGATCTCTTTCTCTCTCTCTCGTGTTCTTGAGGTGATACGATCTTGATGTATCACGAGCTTTGCTATTATAGTTGGATCTTATGATGTTTCTCCCCCTCTACTCTCTTGTGATGAATTGAGTTTTCCCTTTGAAGTTATCTTATCGGATTGAGTCTTTAAGGATTTGAGAACACTTGATGTATGTCTTGCATGTGCTTATCTGTGGTGACAATGGGATATCACGTGATCCACTTGATGTATGTTTTGGTGATCAACTTGCGAGTTCCATGAACTTATGCATAGGGGTTGGCACACGTTTTCGTCTTGACTCTCCGGTAGAAACTTTGGGGCACTCTTTGAAGTTCTTTGTGTTGGTTGAATAGATGAATCTGAGATTGTGTGATGCATATCGTATAATCATACCCATGGATACTTGAGGTGACATTGGAGTATCTAGGTGACATTAGGGTTTTGGTTGATTTGTGTCTTAAGGTGTTATTCTAGTACGAACTCTTGAATAGATCGATCAGAAAGAATAACTTTGAGGTGGTTTCGTACCCTACAATAATCTCTTCGTTTGTTCTCCACTATTAGTTAATTTGGAGTGTCTCTTTGTTGCATGTTGAGGGATAGTTATATGATCCAATTATGTTATTATTGTTCAGAGAACTTGCACTAGTGAAAGTGTGAACCCTAGGCCTTGTTTCAACGCTTTGCAATACCGTTTATGCTCACTTTTATCGTTAGTTACCTTGCTGTTTTTATATTTTCAGATTATAAATACTCATATCTATCATCCATATTGCACTTGTATCACCATCTCTTCGCCAAACTAGTGCACCTATACAATTTACCATTGTATTGGGTGTGTTGGGGACACAAGAGACTCTTTGCTATTTGGTTGCAGGGTTGTTTGAGAGAGATCATCTTCATCCTACGCCTCCCACGGATTGATAAACCTTAGATCATCCACTTGAGGGAAATTTGCTACTGTCCTACAAACCTCTGCACTTGGAGGCCCAACAACGTCTACAAGAAGAAGGTTGTGTAGTAGACATCAAGCTCTTTTCTGGCGCCGTTGCGAGGGAGGTTAGCGCTTGAAGGTTTATCTTTAGATCTTGCAATCGAATCTTTTAGTTTCTTGTTTTATCACTAGTTTAGTTTATAAAAGGAAATTACAAAAAAATGGAATTGAATTTGCCTCATACGCTTCATCTTTTAAATATTTTTCGTGAGAATGATGGAAAGGAAAATTGTGCTCAAGTGCTAGAAGAAGAAGTCTATAAAATGTTTGGCACTAAATCTTTGAATGATGAGCATGATTGCAATGTTGTTAGTATGAACTCCTTGAATATCCATAGTACTAATGATGATTGCACTACTCATGATGAAAATGTCTCTTATAAGCATGTCAATTTTTGTGGAGTGCATAGAGCTTGAAAGAACACACCAATTAGGGAAAATAGATTTTGCAAGAGGCATAAGTATTTGGAAACTAAATGGTTGCAAGAGAGACTAGATGTTTGTGCTGAAAATTTAAAATTTCTTCGCCATACTTGTGAACTTTGCAACATGATCATTTAAATCTCCAATGCAAATTGTTTCATGATCGTATCGTGTCCAAAAATTGTGATGATTTGATTTCCCTTGCACATCATAATGAACTTAGTTTGCTTTTGAGTTATGAAGAAATGAAACGTATAACTAAGCATATTACAGAATATAACCTTGAGAAATTCCTCGATATTGATCTAAAGAAATTTTTATGTATTGTGCGGTGAATTGCATTGAAAATCCTTATATTGCCAATTACATAAAGAAAAGAAAACAAATAGAGGATGAAGAGAATACTAATGAAAGGGAAGAGGCTTCCCAATATCCTCCTATTATTTCTTATGATGAATCAGGTAACGAGGAGGAGCCTTCTATTCAACCAATCTCATCAATAAGGAGCTCCAAAAAGAGGATTGAACCACACATAATGTGAAAAAGAAAAAGAAAAGACGGAGAAGTAAAGGTGAAAAGGTATCCCTCCAAAATGATGTTGCCCCTATTACTCATTGTGATGATGATAATTGCTATATTATTGGTGCTATCCATACTATTAATGATGAGAGTGATTATGCTTATGATATGAAAAGGCCCAAGCTTGGGGATGCTATGTTTGATGAGAATGACATGTTTGAGAATATATTTGCTTCAATTAATGTTTGTCCCAAGCTTGGGGATGCTATGTTTAATGAAGATGATATTTCTAGCCTCCCAAGTTTTGATATGCAAATTTGTTATGATGATAGCATGCCTCCTACTTATGATGATTATATTGATAAAAGTGAGTTTGGAAGAGTGTCAACTTTAGGAAGTAATGATCCCACTATTTTGGAGGATGTTGAATCTTATTGTGATAATTATGAAAGTGGATTTGGAGAGGCCATGACTTTATTTAGTAATGATTCCACTATCTTGGAAGAGGTTTCAATTTATTATGATAAGAACAAAGTTGCTACTTATGATGATTATTGTGATGATACTTATGCTATAAAAATTAATGATGATTATATTTATAAAACTTGTCATGATCATGATCACCCCTTTTATGAACATTACTCTTTTAATATGGAAACAATGTATAGTATTCGAGTTTCTTATGATACTCCCATTATTCTGAA